TGTCAGGCTATCCTCCATAAATTAGAATTACTGTACAGAGGAAGTGCAGCCTTGGCTGCTGTAATTATCCCTGCAACATTTGCTATTTTGTTGTGGTTTTTTTTCTTTGAAATACAAGGGATATTTGGGGGTACGTTGGTAGTACTTAAAGTCTCTATTTTCTTAGTTGATCTTTTTGTTCTATTACCATTACAATTCTTTTTATCTTGACCTAATCACATTTTCTGGCTTGCTTGTCAATTTAAAAGATAAATCAGGGGGAAAAAAAGAAAAAAATGCTTTGGTTATGTTGTGTGTTGTTTGGGGGTTTTTAATGAATTTGTTGCTTTAGAGTGGTGTAAGGTTGACAGCCTAGGAAACTAAAGCATCAGTACATATTTTCTCAGACTATTTTGATAGTATGCTTTATCCCTGACCTGGAAAAGCCACCTCTGCATGTGAGAGGATAGTTCATTCTCCATAGCTCATTCAGTCCTTGTCCTTTTTGCTAGGACTGCCATCAAGATTGCTAATTATAGTAATAGGTTTGTGATGTGGGTACTTTTCCTCTGAAAACTGGTCAAATTCATTTGATACAGGCCATAAAGCAGCCATTAGCAGGTACCAAGTTTCAGCCACCATCAGTTTGACCTAAGTAGTAGCTGAACAGTGCAGTAGTTTTTTTTCTTTGCATCCTATTTCATTTTTTAACGTTCTTCTTGTAGCCAACAAAAGCTCCCAAACTGTTTTATATTTCCAGTGGGTTTCAGACCCTTTTCTGCTGAAACTGAATTGCCTATTTTCAATTGCAAGAAACCAACCTGCATGAGTTAAATAAGCCAGCACAAAATAACGTCAAGAGCGGGCTTTGCACAGCCTTAAATATGTTGGGGTTTGTTTGGTATGTTGGTTTTTTTTTTTAAAAAAAGGGCCATTGAAGGTGTGGCTTGGGCAGAAATACAAAGTAAAGCACATTTCTCAAATTTACACAATTATTTCAGCTGTTAGTACTGTAGCGTCTTGCCTCAAAAGAAAGACATAAAAATATTATAGCTTTAAAACTTCTTATTTTGCTGCAAGAAAAGTGGCTTTCGAAAAACGTGGTTTATGTCCACTAATTTAGCATCACTGAGGGAAATATTAACAAGGCTTGCATTTTTTTCATGTTGGCACTCAACATGATACTGATGATTTAAAAGACTTTTTGTGGTATGGTATTTTTACACTTATGTCTATTTTTTTAAAGGAAACTTCATAAAGACTGATATTTTCAGATTTCTGTTGCTAACACTTTTCTGGGTTTCCTAGCAGTGCTTTTCTTTAAATGGAAATGCAATCAGCCCTTACTTCATGGTGCCTTCAGTATTTCTTTCAGGTCTGACCACTAAGTCCAAGAGTCACGTCCTCAATAATCCCTGAAAAAATTACTGTTCCTCACCCTCTTACAACATATAGATCCATGCATTTAGATACACATACACACGTTTACCTTTCTCAGAGCTGTTTTGCAATTAGTGGATTCTCACACTCAGCAATTGTGTTTGGGTTACAAGAACTTGTATGGCTAGTTGATGGTATGTACATATGTCCTGACTCGGATTCACTACTTTCATTAGCACTAGAATTCAAAATAGCTGATTCTGATTCAGAATCAGGCTGATTCTGACATCAGTGTTAATGATGTAATAGTGCTGACTCTGAGCAGAATTGTTTCTGATTCCCTGATATGCAGGAGCATTTCTGCTTTACAGGTGCAGGTGCAGATGTTTGATTGCAGCTCATGCAAATTTCTGGAAGCATTAAATGGGTAACGGTGTAGATATGGTAGCCCAGAGTTAGCTACCAAAACAGTTTCAGAGGCTGCAGCCGGTATTGAGCTTCACGTACCCTAGCTGTGCTTCCCTTACTAGTCGTACTTGCACTTGGCTAAAGATAGCATGGATAAATATATACAGCTTGTAGTTGCATCTCTCCCACCAGTGTGCATACATCCTGAGTGAGATCAGAATGAGTCCTGTTGGTATTTATTTTATAGAAATTATCTTTAGTTTACATGGTTGTTTCCCCACAGGAATAAAGATTTTCCTGTACCTTTTGAAAATTTATGGCAAAGTTGATTTTGAAAATCTTATGTGTAAATTTATCATTGGCCTTTACATAATTATCATGTCTTCAGGAATGCAACTGTACTGAAGGTAGAGACCGAGAGCAGCCCTGGTGCTAGATCAGGAAAATGGAGGAAGACTGGCTTATGGATGGATGCCTTCAGCTCACTCCTTCTAACAGTGCACATGCCAGTCACGTTGCACCACTGCTCATGCTCCTGGCAACTCTTTGATTCCGTATTTTGCTCAGCTTTATGGTTTCTGAGCTTTTACCTACCCACACAAACTCCTTTGTGCCTACAGTAGGTGTGCACAGAAAATGCTGTATTTTGGATGCTCAGTGGGAACCTGACAGCAACATGAGAGAGTTTTTTTTCTTCCAGGAGGAGGCACCTGTGCTGCCTTCCAAACTGCATGTGTGAAGTATAGTAAATATATGGGTTAAAAAAATCATAATTCAAATCCCTATAGTGGTACTGATCAGATCTCTGTTTCTGTAGCAATGCGAACCAAAGGTGGCCTTTTAAGGCTCACAGTTCATCTACCAATTTCCAGTTCTGCTTCAGGATTCTTAAAGTATTAGAGTGCGTGCTTTAAACCCACAAAACTTACCTTTACCTAATTTTCACTATTCTAACCTAAGTTTCCACGGAAACAGGGTTGAAAAAGCCGCTGGTAGCCAGCAGGCAGCCAGCAGCTGAGAGTGAGAACTCTCCTTTGTCACTTTCCACTACTGGATGCCTGCTGCGTGCCAGTGTGCAAAGCTACCTAGGCTTCAAAAATCTGGAATACTTTCAATTTGAGGGGGAAAAATTAAATTAATCTACTCTTTTCTCTCTTTGGATTGTCACAGTAAATTCCAGGAGGGCAGATGGGCTAATGAGTCCTGATCTGTTCAGTTACACTGAGCCCCACGTAATCAAAGCTTTCCCAACCAACTGGGCCTCTCCTTTCATAATTTTCACGTTCTAAAAGCATTCCCTTTCAAATTTGTGTCTGTGCACATGTACATGCATATTGTGGCATCTTAATTCTTTCTGGCTCTATATCTGTCTACGTATTTATGAGCCTTTTTTGCATATAGTAGTCGACCTATAAAATTTCCTTTCTTCCTCTTTACTTAGGGAACATTTCTGAATGAACACATTATAACTGATCCTCAGTTAAATATTAGGAGTAGGATGTGAATGGAGATGGCTTTTAACCAGAAGTAGATTATAGCTGTGGGAAGACTAAAGGGTCTATTTGGTCAAGACTCATACAAAACTGAGATAAGCATGCACAACCTGACAAGATCAGATTAGACCCTTCCCCCACAAGTGCTTTTCCCATAAATATTTATCTACTTTCTATTTTAAATAACCAGGAAATGAAAAAGAAGGATAGATTCTTTTTTTAAAAATAGCCTAGAAATAGAAATGCAGCTTCAAATCTTCAGGGTAATGATATTTTAAGTGTGAAGTAAATTCCAATACTAGTTGCTGTTTTTTAAATGGGAGCAAAGTACTGAAATTCTTCATGGTAGCTACATAAATTGACAGCATTTATAAGCAGAGAACAACTTTGTACACATGTGCATTTTTGCCTACTGTTGAGTACCTTGGAATTAAGTAACTTACCACCTATGAGAGAATAGGTGCTGACGGAGTCAGCACTGCTGTATTTTTAAACTTGCCTGAGGCAACATAGCTGGCATTGAAGTTAAGCTTGGCGTTTTTTCATGCTGTCCCTCCTCCCTCCAGCCCAAGTGAATGCTCACTTCATCAATGAGAAACACAACGGACTTGCCTGCCAGATGTAACCGAGATCCATGAATTCACATCTGTTCTGCAAATCTGTGTTTCATTCAGATTGTCAATACTTTGACTTCACTTCCTCATGCAGTGGTGTTAAGGGGTAAAAATCTGAAGCCATACATGTGCCACTAATTCAGAAATGCATATTTGTTGGTGATCCACTCATCAGAACCTGTGTGGATTGCCTTTCTGTTATAATACAAAATAGCTCTTTAGCTTTGAGATTTAAAACCTTAAAAATGTACAGAGTAGGATTTTTACATGCATTTTTGAAAGTAATGAGTGTGTACTTTTTAAAACACTTCTGTGTCACATAAGAATAATATTAATACTTTAAAAATCTCAAGATGAAAGATGTAAGTCCTTTTTTCTTTTCTTTTTTTTTTTTTAAAAATCTTTTTTTCCTCTAGCATTTTACGATGGGATAATGAGACAGATGTCTCTCAACTGGAAGGACATTTTGACATTGTTATGTGTGCTGACTGGTAAGTACATAAAAATCATAAAACTCATGTTAGAAAAATAGCTTTGCTGGAGTAATTGTACTGTGCTGCTTGCTGATGGCTAAGCAAAGTCAACAAATGAAGCACAAAGCCACCTTAACCTCAACAAATTAATATTCATCTCCATGTGACAGTTATAAGGTAGTCTTCTATCACACAGTAACTTCTACCACATTATTTCCCAAAGATTGATTTTGAGAAGCATTTCCATTTTCTGGAATTGCCTCTGTTTCATGCTTGACGTATCAGTAAATGGACGACTTAGGCAAATTGCAAATAATTATGGCTCAGTGAGGAACGGTCTGGAGAAAAGGGAGTTTATCAACACAAACAGCTCAATTAGCTTACTTCTTAGGAAAGATCTGACTATTGATATAAGGGGATATATTTTTTGCTCCCCGGAAAATCTTTCCAAGATAAAAAAGATTTTCAAAGCCTTTTTTTTCCCCCCATCACATTCTGTTTCTTAAATCAGTTTGACAGCAATATTTGTAGACATAGGCTTTATATTATTTACACAGGCACATGTTAATTGTAAGAGAACTCTTAGTAAAAGAATGAGAGTACAGCACTTAATTTATAAAAACGCAGATACGTGTTACAATATGGTATATTGTTTAATAATTCATGCAAATAAATTTGATTATTGACACAACCCTTTTCTGATACTGGATTTGCAGAATTGTGCTGTGCTATATTTTCTGCATGCTAAGTTTAAAAATGGTACATTATTAATAATTTGTGTTATATAAATGGAGACAGTGTAAAAAAAGATGTGCAGATATCATTTAAGAGAGTAGATATTTTTAAATGAACCTGCCTTTCCTTTATGAATATTTGCTCTTGACCCTTTAAATGTCCAAAGCAGAAAAACCTGTTTCTGTTTTGTTTCGTGTAACTATTGTGAGAGACCAAATTCTGAAAACAGGGACTTTGTAGGACAGCTCAGTTCAGCAGATTTCTGTACCTTACAAAGAAATAGTTAAAGGAAAAAGGCGAAGGGAAGTATGAAGCTGTCTATTGTCTTTTTAAACAATGTTCTTTTTAAGAGACTTCTGATAAAGTATTCCTCTAAAGCCTTTTTTTTGTTGTTTGATATTTTGCTATTTAAGCAAAGTCTTATTTCAGAAAAGTTACTAGTTTTGTATAGCACTGGAGAACACTTCGTCATCTTTTTTCCTTTTTCTAGTACCTATTTGTTGACAGAATGCAACAGTGCTTCATTTCTCTTAGCATTTAATTTCAGAAAAGTTCTTTGTTCTCAAAAAGGACAGAGAAGGGTTTCTAACTAATCGCTGATAATGTGCCTCAGAGATGCATCATCTGATTAAAATAAGGAGCTAAACAACACCATATGATTTCAGCAAGTAATTTAGTAAATGCCTTCCTCACCAAATATTAGAATGGATACTCCAGGTTTCATTGCACAGATGAAGTTAATGCTGGACAGGATTAGATCAGATTAAGTATGAAAGTCAGATCAGAGTGCTGGCGGACATGAGCAGGAGGGCAGCAGTCTTCTCGGAGGCTTAGACAAGGCTCACATATGGATGTTCTCCAGATTATGTGGGTGAAGCAAGGTCTTGCCAAGAGATTTAGAGTTAAATTTGTTCTTCACACAAATATCAAAACAACCTGGCTGTGCCATCTCTTGTATTCTTGATACTCACACCATGTCATCCTATTTGTGCTGGGAGTACAGCAGAGTAGAGCAAGACTTAAGTTGTTTTTTTCAGTATGAGAAATATTCTTGCCTAATACTCCTCCCATTCTGTTTGGAAATAGTGTAGTTTCTTTAGGAAACAAAGAATCAAACATGACAGGTAAAATACATAATGCATTTACAATCTCTGCATTTTGTACATTTATTTTGAAGCACTTAAGATGCAGGTAAGTGTATAAATATTTATAGATTTCTAAAAAATAAATAGAAATGTGCAGGTTAGTTTAAAGTATGTGTTTTTATTCACAAATTGTCTCTATTTTCTTATTGCAAGTGCCCATATATATAGTTTAATAAGCATGAAAATCCCTTTATTGTTTGTTTCCTTTAGAAATCATTCTTTTAGTTATGGACACTAGGTTTCCTGGTACATGAAAAGGCTGGGGAAAAAAATGTTCCATGCTATATCAAACTCGAATCTTCTTTTCATTTTCATGTATTTCTTTTCTGAGATACAGAACTGGCTTGAGAACTGTTGGCAGGATTTTTGCTTTCTGAATTTTTTGGGCTGCCATTGAAGAGGAAAAAAAAATGTCTTTTCTTATAGCTCCTCGGCTGAATCCTGAAGTATGCAGCGATAAAAACAGATAGAATAGATTGCATTTAGTTTAACACCATCATATAGCTCATTGTCAGTCAATAAAATCTGGGATTAGAACAGAGAACTAGAAAGCAAAAAATCTGAGTTCAAATATTAGGTACATGGATAAATTTTTATTGAAGTGTTTCCAGCAAGGGTGATATTGTCTGATTCTCTGAATAGCTAACCAGTGGTACTGCTTGATCCCATTTACATGAAAACAAACTCTATTCATAAACATAGTCCAAATCCACATGGAGGTTCAAGTAAAAATGTACATGATTACAACAAGCAGCGATATGTTTTTATATTCATATATTTACAGTCAGACTTTCATAAACCTTGTGTGCAGGGGTGGAAAATATGTTTTTTCCCAGAACAGACGCTCTATTAGTTAACAGCTAAATTTAGTAGCTCAACTAGATTATAAAATAAATAAGAGGCAAACTGTGAAAGCTAGTCATTATTTAACCGTTCAGGATTTTGACAATAAAAATAGTTTCATGGTTCACCAGTTCCAAAATAACTTGTAAAATGTCAACTACGAGATAAAAATAAGGGAAAAAAAATCTTGGTGAGGCGACACCTGGAAGAAGGGTACACTGGAAAAAAATACTGAAATAATGGAATTTTTAAAACATATCCATCCACCCACCTCATAATTTTTAGGGGGAGTTTGAAGGCCAGGTGAAGGCTGCCAGAATTTTAGGCTTTCATTTGACCTACACTTGTGGATATAAAGTCATGCAGGTGCTGGAATTGTAAGAGTGTGTATGAATAGAGGGGAAGAAATAACAGGTGCCTGTATGGACAGGCCAAAACCAAGACTCCTCCAAAGCTCTTGAGAGCCTCAGATTTCCGATTATTTAAAAGGAAACGTATATACTTTTCTTTATTAAGAAAAAAGTTGCTGAGATTTTTAATCCAAGGAGACAGTCAAGGCCAGTAGGACTGAGCCAATATGAAAATCGTTGTCTTTCACGTTCTTGTGAAACAAGTTTTCACAAATAATTTTAATGTCGAGACAGTATAAGGTCTGGATCCCCATGTAATTTTGGAAATCCATAATATCCCACTTCGTTAGACTGATCATATATCCTTAAAGTCTGGCGCATGCATAAGAATTTGCACAATAGAGGCTGGGGGGGCTATGCCACATTACTTTCACTGTTGAGATTTTTGCTGAAGTCATGGGGAGTTGTGGATTCACCAGGAATGTAGAAATGAACTGAAAGTATTCTTTAAATACGTTAAAATATGTCAATTTTGTCTCTGTTAGTATTTAATTTAAGGAAATATTTTTGCAGGAAT